TATAAGAAGAAGATTAGCGCGTGTTAAGTGGGGTGCTGCGTTTTGCACTTTGTGGGTCTCCTCATGCTGTCGTCATGCAGTCGGCTACCCCGCCGCACAGCATCCTCCATGAAGGGGACTTGTCCAGGATGTCAAGCCGAAAGAGTCTTATTCTGTCGCGCTTACCTGCATGTTTGAACCAGCCAGGCACCATCGCCTCCTTTTTCCACGTCCGCCGGCACCTGGACTGGGATTGACGGAAAAGCAGCCAAAACAGCCCCATGCAGAAGTAGCAAGGAGAGCTGATGCCCACGAGAGCCTCCGCCTTGAGCAAGTGTCACGTTGATTTGGAGGACCAGTTTGCAGGGGACCTGGCGGAGTTCTTGCACAGGCCTGGCCTTGCCTCAAAGGGCTCGAGGGTCGGAAGACTCCGAGTTGCGCGGTGCAGGATGGGGTTGCGTCGTCCATGCAGGGAGTCACTCGGAGCTGCATGATGCCAGCTGCTACCAAAACAGTGCCCGTCCCTCACGAGAGCCGAAAGCATGTGCGAAGGCAGCAAACACAAAATTCGGTAACAGACAATCAAGATGCCGATCCTCCAAGCCCGATTTTTGGCCGCTGGCCCCAAGTAGGACCCACACAAGCTCGGAAGCTTGAGCCTTGGCCGAACACAAGGCCCTGAAGCCTTCCTAAACCCTCAAAACTCCGCGCGGGCTGTCCGCTTCTTCTTCCATCCGGTGTGGGGGGGGGGGGGGGTTCGGCGACCCTCTGCTTGGACAGGTTGCACGAAAGCGGCATCCAGGACAGGAGGGCAGGGAAAAAGGGGAAAGGGCCTTCGCGCCTTCCATAGCCTTGGGCTTTCTCTAGGACAGTTGAGGGGGTTCCATGGGCACATCAAGGCCGTTTTGTTATGTCAGGCCCCGTGTCACCCGGTTTTGTGAGTTTTCTTACAACCGCTCATCACATGGATGGGGCTTTGGAAAGGAGGATTCCTAGGCTGAGCTCGAAACCCGGCCTGAGCCTTAAAACCGGAACCTCAGCTCCTGTCCCGTCCCTTTTCGGAGGAGTTCCACCTGATGGCTCATTCCATGGGCTGCGAGCTGGTCTGTGCGGCGCTGGAGCTTCGGATCAATTGGTTTCTTTGGAGGTGCTGGGGCCCGGGGGCGCTTCCTGGGACCAGGTGCGAGAAGCGGTTGGACCATAGATCCCCCGAAACAGCCTAAGCAACTAAAAAGTCTGAACCTACCTTCCTTCCTTCTTGATTGGAGGAAACCTGATCTCCACAATTTTTGCCTTGCTCCGAGGACCACCTGGAACAGCTACCCGCACGAGGGCGCCTTTTTTTGCTCTTGTACTGTGGAATAGGACAGTTTGGCATGAAAGGGGGGCACGTGGCTGTTGTCCTGATTTCAGCGCGTGAGTGGAGACGGAGGCTGAGGGAAGCCCCACCAGCAGATTCCTCCGAACTTTCCTTCAAAGAGCTCCATCTCCATCTCCTCCTCCCTGGCCCAGAGGGCGGTGGCCTGGGATGCCTGAGGTAGAGGCAACAAAAATGCAATTTCCGACCCTAAATCCTAAACCCTGAACCCCCGTTTCCTGCATGGAGTCCGATGGAGGCGCCCGGCAACCACCGGAGGCCACGAGCTCAGAGAGAGCCGGAAGAGCACGGGTACCTGCGCAGGAGTTTTTAGGTTGCCGAAGCAGGGAAAGCATCTGTCCTGATTACGGTAACGTAAACTTTATCGTCACAAGAATCCGGAAAAAATCCTGTTTAGGCTCTGGCGCATTTCGGTTTCACCCGGCTGCCCAGCTGTGATGCTGCGTTCTTTTCGTGGACACCCTGCGGTCCAAGCTCCCCCTGTGTTTCGATGGCAGGGACAGACGAGCTTCCGCGCGCGAAAATCGCGACGATCTCGTTCTGCGGCTCGGCCCGTGCAGACCGGTGCCGTTTGGTGAGGAATCAGTCTTAGGCCCAAAGCATCACCGTCCAAGGCACATGAACATGCAGTGTCGTATGACTGCTTGAGGCAACCCATCGTGCCCCCTGAACGCATTCCTGGAGGCGCAGATGCACACGAGTACACCCAAATCCACGCCTCAGTCGGAAAGGCCAAGCCCAAGTCCTAAACGATAAAGCCCAGCCCGTCCTAGTATCCCGGCTTTCCTGAGCGGACAGAGGCACGAGTGAAACAGGTGCCTTGAACTAGAAGCCCTTGGCCCCTTAAACGCTAAAAAGAGCGCCCAAACACCCTTCACAAAGCACACACACACACACCAACATTTTTCTTTATTTTTCAAAGCACCCAGCAGCATTTTCCTGTACTTTTGAACCGCCATCATGATACTCTTCTTTCCTCAGAGTTTCTGGCAGGGCTCGCCCTCGAATCTCGCCCGGCTCGCCGCACTCTGCCAGCGGCTGACTTTCTACGTGGACAGGGAGGTCTCAGGGGAAGGGCAGTTTCACAGAGAGAAGCACATCAACCCTAAACCCTAAACCCTCACAACAAGGGTTCATGCATCTCTGAGAAGTTGCAGAAACCTTGATCGACATTTCGGCGTCGAGCCACCAGGACACAGCACTCTGGGCCGGCGAGGCCACTGCAGAGCCATCTTTCACGCAGACTTTTTTGAGTGTGTCTGAAAGTTTCAGGTCCCATTTCTGGAATTTTTCTTTTGAACTCATGATCTTGAGTCTATGTTAGGATGCTTTGTGCTGAGACACCCAATTCCTGCGTCAGGTCTCCCGGTAGCTTGCCCGCATAAAATGCCATATCCTAGTGGCCTATACTCAAAGACCCAAAACCCGAAACCCTAAACCCTAAACCCCAAACCGTAAACACCTACATCCCTGTACCCTTAGACCTCTTGACGCCTCAACCTAAGGTCTAAACTCTAAACCATTCTTCGTCAGGTCCTCGGTGGCCACGGCCGAGCGCTTGGCCGATTCGCAGAGCCACTGCCCAGCACATACGACGCTCGGCGTCGGGCAGGAATCGTTTGGTTGCAGGTGCGTGCATGCTTGCCAGGCTTTTGTCATGCCGATCCATCCGCCCTCTCCATCCTCTCTCCTTGTCTCTTCTTTTCTGAATGCTCCAGAAAAATTCACTGCATCGGAACCTCCGCCCTATGCTGTCACAGGCGAATAAGTATAGTCATACCCGGGAGGTGCGGGATCCTCGAAGAGGGTCGGTTTGAGACCCTGATGGGAGGGGCGACTTGAGCTTGCGGCTGACGGTGCCAGACTCTACGACCCGAGTTCCGAAAAGCAGCACGCTCGCCGAAAAGCCCCAACGCCAAAAAGGGGTGATGGTGACGGGTTAACGCCCCATGCTCGAGCGAGAAACCTCAAAGGAGCAACACCCCACAACTAAGAGGAGAGTCTGCAAGATCTTCCCAACACTATCTCAGGGGATGAGAGCCGTGAAACTACGGTGAAACCATAGATTCCTGACAGAGACTGGGGGTGGGGCGTCCCCGGATCAATGCCCATTCCGAGGACAGCTCCCTCACGCCGAAGATCGATGTGGTGGACTGCACGTCTATGGATGCCAATGTCAATGGCATTCGGCATAGCTGCTCGGAGTGGAGTCCTGCGCAGATCCCCAATGCCTTGAACCTCAAACCCCCCACTCCCGCAAGCTTACACCCCAAAGCCCTGTAAGAGCCCCTCTTATAAGATCGCCCTATAATAATCCCATGCCTAAACCCTCTAAGCCCGAAGCCCTAAACTGTGCCAAACCCCTTAGAATCCCTCGCCTTTCCGAGGCTATTTCGACCTCAACGCCTACCTCGTCTCGGACCTCCACGAGCTGGTCTCCAAAGGCACCCCCGCCAATCGGAGGAGCCGCCGGGGGCCCCGGGGGTCCGGCGTTGTGTACAGCGTTGCTTTGGGGATCCGTGGCGGAGTGTAGGGTGAGGGTTTAGGGTTTAGGGTTTAGGGTTTAGGGTTGTATACAAAGCTTGCAGTTGTTGCTCTCATTCTGTTTGGAAGGCCTCGGTACACGCATTACAAGGAAGCCCCCGGCACGACTGCAGGTCTCGTGCGAACCTCCGTGAGCTCACGCAGCAACGTCTTCTCTTTCCTGGCACCACCGGTCTTTGTGAACTGGTGACAGCAGGGACAGGAGTTCTGCAGCTATGGTTTCGGAAAGTCGTGACAGGTGATGAAGTTCAAGAACTCCTGCTCCAGTTTTTTTTCTTGCCGTTTTCCTCATGAGCCTACCTGGGGCTCGGCTGGTTGACGGTGGCACCCGTGATATCTGGGGACTTCCAGGCCTTGTGCTCAGACGACAAACGGAGTGGTGTCCATGACTCCTGAACAGGAGTTGAGAGTCTCGGTCACTCCAAAGAAAATTTAGGACCGATGAGGGGTAGAAGAGGCGGCGTTCGATCAGAGATGCTATGATGGGCTCCAGCATCGCCGGGGGCCCTCTTTTTGCTTCAGTTTGCCAAAGGCTGCAAGCTCCTCTTGTCGTGCATCCAGAGGCTGCCCGCTTGAGCAAGACCATGGAGAAATTGGGAGCTGCCCACTCTCACGGCTTGACTGTTCAACTACATGGATTGCATAATCACAATCCAGATCGAGTGCAGGCAATCTGGTGTCTTTTCCATTCGAGCGACAAGCAGAACGATCAACAAGAGCGCATGAGCTCTGGACAAAAACTCGGCCCAAGCTGCCATGCAAGTTCTTTCATCACAACTTCAAACACTCCCTGTCCAAAGTTGCAGTCCCCGCCCTTCTGGCCTTCATGACGGCGGCGCCACGCTTGAGGATCCGCCGGCATGAAGCGACCGCTTCGCCGTGGCGCCTCAGTGCACAGAAAGTTTAGCTCCGTGTAGCCCCAGCGCTTTGTGGACCTGTTCGGCGCCTGAGGTGTTAGTAAGGCGCAGAGCCGGAGGGTAGTGTGCCTGTCAGAGATTAGAATGCAGGTACCAGGGATAAGCAGAGCTGGCATGCCTCGATGAGAGTATTGGATGCCCAGTTCCTGATTTGGCGCACAAAAAATCGCTCCGATTCCGAGGAAACCGCAGCTGCACGCCGGCCGTGGCGCGGGGCTTGCCTTTGCTTGGTCGGGCTTTCATCTCAGAGAGTTTCTTCGAGTCGAAGCACGAGATGTACACGAAAGCCATCAAGGCCCCCCCCCCCCCACACATTTTTGCGTAATCAACTTGATTTGCTATAACTTGTTCACCGTTTTCCCGCATGTTTTTGGCCTGGAATCCTAAGCCCCCTGCCCTGTGAGGCCTGGCACGTTTGCACCGAGACCTTCAGCGGAGGCTTCTGGGAGTTTCGTTTGGGCCCCTGGGATTGGCCGGAGCTCGCCGGGCTCTCGGAGCTTTCGGAGGGGAGGCGCTCGGAGCTGCACTTCTTCATGTGTGCTCCAAGCCCGGAGAGCCCAGAAAAGGCCGCGCTCTTCACGGGGCAAACGGAGATGATGACGGTGGCTCCACCGAGTCGTGCCTGTGCTAGCAATCTCTCGATCTTGCTGAAAGAAGCCGTGCCTGTGACCTTGGACCACGGCCTTCGTCTGAATGGGAAGCTTCTGGAAACTCGGAGCTCGCCGCGGAGGGCGCGCTTTGCCTTGGGTGGAACGGAGCAGGACGTTCTCAACGACCTGCTTGCATCCCTGCAGAGCCGGGCGGTGCGGCGCGAAAGAGTGTGGCGCCGTCCGAAGCTTCGGGCGGCTGTTTGCGTCGCGGGCCTCGCCCGCAGCTTTCACTTGCCTCGGGTGCACGAATCCATCGCGAATGCCACCAGGAGCCTGAAAGCTGAAACTCAGATTTTCTACGTGCTGGACCTGCAGGGGCGATCTTTAGAAGAGTTCGATCGAGGCTTCACCGCCTTGCCTCCGGATGGCATGGTGCTTTACGATGAGGTGCGCGGAACTGGTCTCAGGCTGCCGCAGTGTCACTGGGCGACGCCATTTCACGCTCACAAGCAATTCGAGAAGTTTCGCAGCTGCTTCCATCTCATCAGGGCGGCCGAGAAGGCACAGCGGAGACGTTTCGACTGGGTGTTGCGGTTGCGTCCAGACTTCGAATGGCTGGCGCCTATTGGCAATCTGAGGGGGTTCTCCACGAAGAAGGTGCATATTGTGCTGCACTGGAGCACTCCATGGAGCTTCTTTGACACCACGGACTTCTTCGCTTTGGTCCCGCGGGAGCACTTCTGGGCCTACTTCGGCGTCGGCTGTCCCTCGCAGCGGTCCCTGCGAGCCGCAAAGGCTGAGGACTTTTGCTTCAACCTGTGGTGCAATGCAACGAAGGGCCGATGGGACACCTGCGTTGCCCATCCCGAATGCGTGCTTCAGCTTCGGTTCCGGGAGCGCCGAATCCTCGTGGAGCCCTTTCCGCCAGTCATGCAAGTGGTGCGCGAGCCGCACGGGCGATGCCACGCGGGTGATCAAAAATGCCTCACCGGATGGCAGAAGATGACACACTGGCCCTTCGAGACTTTCTGATCGAGGAGCAAGGTCGAAGTGGGGGAACCAAAGAAGGAGGTGCAGTGAAGATGCACAGCGCCTGCCCTATTGGAGCACTTTGCTGTGAGAGCATCAGAAGATGATCGCCAGGAATCTGGGCGAGTCAGCGAGACTCGGCCGGGTTTTTGACCCACTTGCCGTGTTCCGTGTTGGGCTCGCTGGCGACATGCGACAAAACAGTTCTCTAAGGCCCTGGCCCGTGCTGCACAACCTTCTATGCTTTGCAAGCCTCATGCAGCAGTTTGAAACTGGGATCACTCGCATCATCAGCAGCTCTTGCTTCCGCGGGCCCGAAAGCTGCGGCCCGCAAGCCTTCAACGGCGTCAGATACCTTGCCTGGCGCAGTCTCCGCTTGGCCTCTTCTGGAGCCCTGTTGAGTTGACGTGAACCTACGACTTGCACCCGAAAACAAGGGGGATCTTTGGGTGTTCAACGGCGTTGGGAAGTGGGGTGTTTGCGGAACCTAGTTTGAAGGGCTTCGGAGTTAGTCTTGTGAGGGATAGAGAAGGACAGAGAACGATACTTTAGGTCCGGAGGTAGTAAGAAAATGATGCTTGGCAACTGTTGCAGCATCTTCAGCGAAGAGCCTTTGCATCAATAACTTCCCGCAGCTACAGGTTTTTCGTAGTCACAGTACACACCCGCCGTGGCGTACTTCGGACAATAAAATCAATAAAACGCACAGCTGGCTAGGACGCAGGCATGAAAACGTGTGCTTCTCCGCAGACTCTGTGTGGCCCGCAGCCACACGGGAAGACGGGAAACGAGGCCCGGTGTGCTTTCGCTGCAGTCTAGTGAGTCCAGTGCTAATCCAGTACTGCCTGAGAACAAACTGCTTGCCACCCAGCACTTTTCCAGCCTGCGTCAGTCTGCAGTCTGGCACATGAGTCAGAAAGCCCAAGCCTGGTGCAGGATGGGCTGAGCACATCGACCCGGATACCGACAATCCGCAGCATGGCTGCAAAAGCTGAGCTGGCTGGTGCCGTGCGGTTTCGCACCTGAGCCTGAGCCAGGTTCTTTATTCATTCCGCCACCCGGAAGGCTCTGATGCATGCAGGAGCATGGCAGACTGGGATGCAGAGAAAGTTGTCAATCCATGCGATGTCCACTCATCTCTGCATGCTGTTCCCATGGCCCAGGCCACACGTTACACCTAACATCCTTTTAGTTTCGGACATGTCAGCTTTACAAAGCCCGCTGCGCAGCCGGCACAAGATATCTGCAGAGTGCGCTTTTCAGCTAAAGATTGCTTTTGAGTGCTTTGCGTCTTTGCCTGGGACACGTGTCTGACACATCATTGGGAGACTGGTCTCATGTCGCAGCAGTAGCACCAAAAACGCCCGCACCAACAGCAACAGGAACAAACAATTAGTGAAGAACGTCCAGCTTATTCTCCGACATCAGTAACAGCGTCCAACCACTTCGACCTGTTTATCGTCTCCAGTATGTTTGCATGCAGCATTATCACCATCAGTGCGATGATAACAACCATGCATAGTCAAACCAATAGTCAAAGTACTGCTGGGGTGTATTGAGAAGCATCAGCGGCATCAACCCGGTCATCAGCCGCCGTCGGCGCGATGATCTTCACTAATCTGGAAAAGCACGTCGAAGCAGCATAACCGTTGTCTTCGTGACTGGAAGCATCTTCGTTTATTCATCGACATCAGCACCATGTTCATGGTAGTCATTATATTACGCTCTATAAACCTCTGTGTTTCCGCGTAGGACTTGTCCAACAGCATAATGCAGCAGGTCGACCCCGGGAAGTTCCTTCTGAGCCTCATCAAGGCTTGGTCCGGGATCCGATGCCTTAAGCAGAAACAGATCGGACGTGTGTCTCAACACTGAGAGTTGTAGTCAGGCTCCAGAGAGCGCGGGCCTCTTGGCAGCAGGCCTTTCCAGGTCCATTGCCAGGAGTTCCTATTCGCGTCACACGATGAAGCTTCCACTGTGCTGTAGCTAGAAGCAGCATCATTATCGTCGTCGTCATCCCATGCCTGCTTCGCTTCCTGAAGGGCTTCATCTGACAATGTCCGGGATCCGATGCCTTAAGCAGAAATGGGATCGATGTCTCAACATTGAGGGACTGACAAGACTGCTAAAGTCTGGAGCATCAAGCAAAGTGCTATCATCCAGCAACTTAGGTAGAAGCAGTTTCACAGAAATCATGTGTAGTTCATGAGAGCAGTGTTCGAACAGTGTAAATCCAGTTTACATCCACAAATGCCGATGGCACTTCAAGTTGGTTTCAAGACTCAAGGCCCAAGGACATGTGGGTTGTAAGTAATTATCCGATTTAACAGCCCTTCCAAAAAATTATCCCCCAAGCCCAGCCCCAGTGCTTGAAACTCTTCGCCCAACCTAAAACCCCGTCCCGAAAGCTTCGGCTTCAAACAACTAAGCAAGTATGCCCTACCCACATGGAAGAAGTCACTGATCGAGATTGGCCATATCTTAGAAATTGAATAGTTTGCTGTAACACAGGTCGGGCAGAAAACTGCTAAATACACATCCGTGCCATTCAATGGAAGGAAAAGGTTGAAAAGGATCCAATTCTAAGAGCTTGTACCGTGTAGTCATCCTGCAACACCAATGAGGCAGCTGCAACAGCTGCGACGGTGGCCAAAGTCTCCTACCTCAAGGCTTGCGCCGGCTTGCCCGATTCCAGGATTTGGGATTTCGCGCCCCGCATCTTCAATCTGCCATGCTTGATTCTACATCGTGGTGATAACCCTGGCGGTTGATTCTGTCTTTGACCGCGTGATGTTTTGCGCAAAGCCAAGTCAGGAGGTTGACCAGGGCTTGGAGCAGCTGCACCAAGTGGTGGCGGAGGTGGGGTTTGGGGCCAGATGTAGGCTGCATGGGCATGGAAGGCATGGAAGGCCTGGAAGGTCATATGGGGCATGAGTCAGATAGCCCAAGCCTGCTGCAGGATGGGCTGAGCACATCGACTTGCATGCTGTTCCCATGGCCCAGACCACACGTAGCATCCTTTCTAGTTTCGGACAGGTCCGCTTCACAAGGCCCGGTGCCGCTGCGGGCTTCTTGGCAGCAGGGCTCTCCAGGTCTATTGCTCCGTTTTTGTTGGCGAGGCCGCCGCACACCCCATGGCCTCGCGGGAAGGGGGCAGACCCCAGCGGCCACAACCGCAGTGCAGAACGATGAATCAGGAATCCGCGATGTTTGGCAGTCGAGATGCCCTCGGCAGAACATGCGCTGCAAGGTACGGGCGGAATGGCCGCTGGCATGAGCACGGGCCAGAAGGGCATGGGGAAGCCGCAGATGGGCCCTCTGCGGAAGTAGCTTCCGAAGCCGAAGTTTTTATGCTGTTTTGCATTGTGGCTGCCGAGGCCAGCCCCAAATGTGGCAAGGCATGGGTTGAATGGGCAAGATGGGGCGGAATGGGCATCGGCCCGCCACAAATGGGGCAAGGCACGAGCGGAATGGGCCAGATGGGCGGGATGCAACAGCAAATGGGGGGTTGTATGGCTCAGATGGGCAAGGGAGGGATGGATGTAGGCTGCATGGAAGGCATGGAAGGCCTGGAAGGTCAGATGGGTAAGGGAGGGATGGGTGGCATGGGTGCAATGGGCGTGGGCATCGTTGGCTGCATAGATGTTTTGTTCTGGGAAGTTCTGCAGACCTTGCTGTTGGAAGTGTGTCGGAGTTCGGAGCACTGCATCCGAAAGCATATATTTGTGTGCTTTGGACCGGCACCTGCAGAGACTTGGTTTCTAGTCCCGCGGTGCTGTGTAGGCTCCTGCCCGCACTAGTACACCGTGAATGTTCGCCACGTTCAGCACCTTATCGCCCAGGGTAGCGGCCGCAGACAAGGCCTACCGGGTGCTCATGTTTTGTCCCGGCTTTTGCGTCACGTCCGTAGATTGGGGCAGTCGCGGGTCCTCTCAGACCACCTTTACCGTCACGGCCACCCGGACATGTTCAAGCACGAGCAGCTCCCCAACGGTGGGTTCTCTATGTTGTTCATGTAGCATGTTAACAGGATGCGGGCAGATGAGACGTCTTTTTTCGCGGGCGCTGCGCAGAGTTGTGAAAGTCGGCCCCGTGAACCCTCTAGGCGTGGCTTGGGGCTCGAACTAGCAGTCGAGATCATGCAGGTGAGGCTTGCGGGCAATTTGCAGGCACAAGCCATGCAGAACTGGAAAGATTTGCAGGCAGCATGAGAGAGGATGTGCAAGCGGCACGATTTGCTTGCCCATACTCTGCGACATGGAAACAAAACCACGGTTTGAGAATAGAGCAGGTTGAGGAACGTGCCCCAAGCCATGACCCTCGCAGGCACTCACTGCTGGCCACGCATTGTCCTCTTGGACAATGCCATCAACGAGGCAGCGATGAGTTCTGCGGAGCAAGGTGAATCATTATCACCATCATCATCATCATCATCGTCATCATCGTCATCTTCATTACACCAGCTCGTTGCGGAGTTCGAAGTCTTTTGCGAAGCTTTTCGGATGTCCATCGCGTCTGAGACGTGGGTTTTCGGCTCTTCAGTTGTCCGGGTTCTGCAACGCCGACATCCCCCGAATGCGGAGCCTGGTTCCAAAGACTTCAACCGATCCGCAGGTGATCGTGCCGAAGGCCACGTTAACGTCGGTAAACAGTCGCGGCCTTGGCTTGCTGCCGCGGGCTGCCCATCCACGGTGCCTCCTTGTAAAGACGGAGCCATCTGCTTGTGCTGATCGCCTTCTTGCGTTTATCATGGCTTGATGAAGTATGCCGTTGGGCTGTCTTCAAGTTGTCTGGGAGGGCTTCTGACCCGTGGGGTCCTAAATCCGCAAATCGAGAATGGCGGGGTCGAACAAAGAAGAGCATTTTCGAAAGTGCGAAGTCTGCAAAAACTTAGGATTGGCTCAGGGCGCCGCAGGTTTCTGGGGTACTGAGATTTGCTGCATGTTGTACTTAGAGCTTGGGCCTGGGATTTAATGCTCTGCGCTCTCTTG